GTCAGCTTCAGAGAGGTCGAGAATATTGCCCTTCAAAGAGACATGAATCACTTATTTTCAAGGTAAAAAACCCGACGGATGTTAGCTAATACTCAAGGACCTTCCAGATCTTATTACTTTGACTATAAAAGGAATGGCTGATCTTGTGAAACAAAAAATGAAGAAAATAGAATCAAAATAGTGAATTTCTTGCTTTCATCCTGGAGCAGACTACTGGGAAGTTGTGTTATAATACGGACCGAAGTGTGTAGCGATTTTGCCAGATCTCGGCTAAGATAACCTTTTCGAGTGCCGGTAACTGGTTTCCACATTCAGGCGCCATTCCTTTTCTTCCGCTCTCAATAGTGAGCAAATATTTGAGTTCATCTGATTGGCCATAAAATCCTTCAAACATCCTGCAACTCATCATCCACACCCTTCCACTGGAATATCTTTCAAGGTGTTTCGGAATTCGCGAAACTAGGTAGGGTGGAAAATTGCTTTTATTTTCAATCATTGCTGAACATGAGAGGAAATTAATGAATCCCAAAGCATCTCCCCATTAATCAAAGCTGATTGATTGGGAGATAAAATTGATCAAATTCAATGATTCAAATTGATTGAGAGAAGCTGAAATTGATCAAAGTCTGTTGGCGGTAATGAACCCCGCTTGAGGGATGAGGGAAGATGGACCCCTCCCTCCCCTCCCTCCACCTCACCCCGCATTCGTCTTCCATTCAGAATCTCAGAGACGTCTGTACTGGTATGTGGCCTATACAATGACGGTGGTGGGGCCAGATGGCCAGCAGAGGTTTCGCCCAGTGTTTTGTTCTCTTAAAGAAGATTCAATTGATCGACCCAAATGGGATTGAAGGCTTGACTGGCCTATGCGGACATCCAACCGCGGAACAGCGGGTGTGGTAGTACACGCTTGCCACTACGGGGAAGATCACAGAGAGAAATACACTCAGAAGACCAGGTATTGTATGCGTGGTGACTTCAGGCTCTTTAAAGAACTCTCATAGGCTGATTGACAAAATGGTATTACCGAAGACACGGGGATTTCTTTTTCATTCAGCTTTCGAGAGTTCTATGAAAAGTCAGTCCAAGGATGCGAGTAACCAGTTTTGGACCCACTTTTTTGCGTATTTATTTATCACATCTCCCAATAAACTTGTGAACCACAGTTTAATTCGATACGTTTATTTATAGGCAAGAACAGTGATCAAATAATATTTTAAAAAATGAAAGCAGATAACGAAGATTTTATGAATGTGAATTTGGTAATGATATTTTAGCATTTACTGCTTTACTGAACGATAAACAGCCATCGACCATCTTGTATCCTTGACGGACCTGAATTAACTTTATGTGATTCTGGCAATGGCTTAGGTAAAGCCCAGCTTTGGAGTTGACGGAAACTCAGCGCCTATCATTCTCTTAAAATTCGCTAATGTCTTGGTCTCAGCTCCTGTTCTTGCAAACGAGAACTGTAGCAAGCAAACCGACCCGAGGCCATGAAGAGAGTGGCTGGCGAGGACGAAGCTGCTATGTTGTCAGTCTTGGGAGACTCAACTAGATTTGTAACCTCTGCACTACTTCTACAATGATGTACGATACTATTGAGATATGGTTTGGGAGAGGCACAACCCACTTGGCTACTCTACTTGGTGATGCCTTCTACAGGAGGAATTTTTTACCCATCCTGAATCCTAAAGGAACAGTTATGCATCTCGAACGGCAATGAAAAAGACCGTCAACGACCTCTGCCGAAATGCAGTTTGTTGCTTATCACTTCGATGAGGAAGAACACAGTCCGATTCGGATAATAAACCAGAAATATATTAGTGAAATGGCGGAGGTGGTGTAGAGGCAAGTGGCGCAGCATTTCACACGCACGTTCACGGGTTCGAATCTTGGATCGACATCCGCGCAAGCCAACCAAGCCTTCCATCCCTCCGGGGTCGGTTAATTGGTACCAGAATCGTCTGGGAGGATAAAAACACTGACTTGTTCATCTTCTGGCCTCCGCAAGTCATTGAACAGGCCACATACGCACTCATCACGCCATTACTATCCTGGATGGAAGTCGAATGCGAGGCGCATCCCTCAGACGGGATTGAGTAACGCCAAAAACTTTATCCTTAATTCACCTTACTCCGAGACGTTGCCCCTTTTGACTGTGATTCTCTTCGTTTGCGTTTATGGGAGCCTCAGGCAGCTAGGTATTCCGACTCTAATATATAAGGATGCCTCGTGAGCCCTGAAACAACTTACGAAAGGGACCTCGACATTCTGGAACGTGAAGAAATGGGTTGGCAAGACGATACCATCTCGCCCCAGCCTTCCATTGCCGCCCTCGAGAACATCCTACTGAGATTTGTAGGGTTCAACTGTTCATCTGTCGTTGTCAATCAATTGTCGCAAAGATAGTCAAAAATCCGACTGAGCATGCAAGACACTAACTGATTACCATTTTCAGATTAGGCTTCATACGTCTACACCCTTCGACTTACAAATAAACTGTTTGACACAATCACTGATAACATTACCTTCAAATTGTTAGTCACTCTGTGAGGACTCGTTTACAATTACCGATCCAGCGGCAACAGGTCGCTTTGCCTTCTCTGAAGCTTGCACGCTCCTGAAAGCAGCTCTGTTCCATTTGTGGCCATCAGTAGTAATGGTCGCCATCTTCTATACCCTACGTGCTGTGCATTAACATTGCGACTTGCTTCGAAATATAAATTAATGCGAAGCTAATGAATAGTCGAAGGTCGTGGTTCAACTATGTATGGAGCAGTCACATATATCTCACCTTTACTTTACCTAGAAGGGAAGAGTATTTGGCAAATAAGTTAAAAACTTTCTACATCTTCGAACTTGAAAGACGAGACACTTATTTCGATCAGACTCACTCTGATGCACCCCGTGCAGTCATATCAGGCTCCTCCTCGAGAGCAGGGGTTCTTACTGAAGGCACTGGAGCAGGTAGAGCTCCAGCAGCAATATCTAGTTCTCTTTGCTTTATTTCATCGATCATGTTTCGAAGCATCTGTTCAATGAATTGCACACGGTCAGGATCTACGTCGTCATAGCCCCTGAAATGACACAAAGTGCTTCTCTGAATAGGATAACTGCTGTCTAAATTTCTTGTCCTTAACGAAACTTATGCAAGCTACATAGTGAAAAGGTGCTTCCGGCCTTGTGGTTGTCAGATAACAAAATTTCATCCGTTCAGCGGACCACAGTTTTTATTATAGGTAGGCCAGCTTTTTGATCCTACATGAACAATGATATTTTTTTTTCGGCAGTAGCTCTTTATTGCTGAATCTTCATATTATCGTTTAATGAGGAGAATATGAAAGTCGAAACTTTCAAAAGATTATTCCTCTTCGGAATTATGAGACCTGCCGCATCTATGAGATTTGCCCTTGATACCGCCACATTCCGGCGCATACCCGTCCCTTGGAGATGGACCTCTGCTCGGCTCACATGGGCTCTGTAGTGGTTACCCTATGCGCAACCCACTCCAAAATTGGCCCTAGTCCCCAGGCGTTTCTTCAGATAGTATCGAATTTCCTGACAGAAAAACAGACGGAAAGACAGACGGAAGACAGACAGACAGACAGACGTAGAGACGCACAAGAGCGCTTATATCTAGTAAGAATTGCTTATTCGAGAAGTAGATCTACTACTTTGCGAGCACGTTTATTAGTTCAAGATCTTCATGATTTTTTCACAAATCCGTTGCTGCTGAAAATTATTCGGAGAAAATGCTCCGACTTCCCATTCACACCTTTGTAAACCGTCTGTAACATTACTGTCGTCTCAAAAAATTTGTTATTTTTACCTGTAGTGCGTTGTAATATAGGTTAAGGCTTTGCTCGTAACAAAAAGTCCCCAGAAGTAGAAAACCGTAGCCAGAAACCAAAATAATGCTACGGCCAAGCTGAGGGTGCCAGTGTTCGACATCATGGAGATTCTGCAACGCTTGTCTTGAGTAATCGGGAAGTGGTGCTGAAATTGGGTTGGCGCTCACATCATCCAAGTTATTGACCAAATTACGATTATGGATATCCTTGTGTTGTAGATTACAAGTAAGTTGGCACGCTCCTGAAGGAATATGCTAAATTATCGAACGATGGACATAAGCAGTAAATTTTTTTCATTCCAGTCAACAAATCTATCTCTCGGAAGAGCTACCTTTTCCAAACAGTTGCATAATTATCTCTCATTGCAGGTAATGAACGTAGAAGTGCCCCTTCCTCAGTCTCAGGGAAGGGATGCTTCCGCAGCTTTAGAGCGAAGGTTCGATTGTACTCAAGTAATGCAAATTCACGGGAGATGGGCAGTAGGATCGGTTTTGGGTAATTGATTCGCCGCACGCGGCCGTCGCTTCGTCGTTATTACAGCCCTAGCGTTCTTCATACAGCTCAGTCGATATGCGATCATTATTTTAGGCATGATTCTACTACTATAAATTCTTCTGTCCCTGTATTTCTTACCTGCTGCTGCACTCTGCTACATTCCTTCGCGCACGGCGTTCCTCTCGCCGCGACGCGACAATCTCGATTCTACTGCACCACACCCCAAATTCGTAGGTGGAGATCCCACGAAGCATTTGTGGCTTATATTCAGGCTTATTTCATATTTTTCTACGTTCATACCCTTGAATTAGATCTATCAGGACGATTACACCTAGACGCTCACACGTCAGGAGTTACCAAATAGAGCTATACTGAGTTATCTCTCAGATTCCTCACACACGTGCTATCTCACAAGGTGTAATTTCAGTGTAGACAATGTTCTAATTAGGTATTACAAGACATAGAAACTTTATGCAATTCTTATTAAAGGTCACGTTGAAAATGGTTCCTGATTCTGAGTTTGATACACGTATAGAAACGAAGCATGTATAGGACTCACATAAAGAAGACCTATAGTCCCTGTTGGGAAAGCGATGGCAAAAAGAAAAAGAGCAGCAGCAGGTACGGAGGTTTGTAGCGAGGGTCCATACTGCAATAGTGCAAATTTCCATAAGACCTTCCTGTGAATTCTCAGGTGAATGATCAAGGGAGAAAACAAATACTCACGAGGTAATGAGATATGGCGTAGGCAGCAAAGGTTATTAGCACAGCGAGTAAGTCGAACACCTTAAATACGATGTCGATGTTTTCTTTTTTGAGCAGCTTCTTTAGTAGAAACTGTTTCATGTGTTCCTGTGCTTTCTGCCGTTTTCATATACTTCCTAAGGAACCTCAATCATAGAATCGGGAAATCGCTCTCAGATAGGCATTGCACAAACAGTAAATATTTAATTGATATATTTGAAATATACTTGTTTATAGGTGTTAAAGGTAGTGAAAGTAGGGTGTTCTACGCGTCTACCGTGGCAGAAATGGTGTGGAAGGGGTGTTTGAACGAAGTTCCAGCCATGTGCGATTGCGTAATGAGCTGGCTACCTTTACCAATATTGCCAAACATAGCTGTTGACGTTTCGACATACTTAGATGATCCATTGTGAATTATGCAGCCACTGCAACGCCTTGAAAACTCGTCCGCCCTTAGTCTGGACGAGTTTTCAGGCGTTCTAGGGCTGCGCGATGAAGCCTATATTTGAGCTTTTACTACACCCTATTTTTCGGATGACAACGACTAAGGCGGCTTACGTGGAGGCCAGAGATTCGTCCCAGTGGGAAATTTCAGAAAACACCTTCATCGTGAACCAGGCCTTGGAATTCAGAATGGGGAAATTTTTACATATCATGAGCCCTTTCAAGAATAAATTCCTTTTTCCGTTACATCGTCATCGTTCCTCTCATCTTACTACACCTGCTCATTCCTAACTGTCTTGTTCAATCAAGAAAGGATGAAGACCAAAGCTGACGGAATGCCTTATAACAAGGTTTTTCCGCACTAAGCTACCCCTCAAGTGTTCAGACCACCAAGAACTCACCTGAAAAGCGAGGCATGCGATGAAGCTATGGAGGCAGCTGCAGACCTAGTATACGAGATGTACAGCCCTGAAAGGTAAGGAAGGTCAAATTTTTGAGGACACGAACCTGGTAATATTCATTTCCCTCTTCTCCCAATTCAGCCAACGCATCACACATTAACAAACACGACCCCTCAACGAAACGAGACTGAGAAATTGAAACCCACCTAGGGCATCTTCAATGTAGCAGAAACTGATATCACCTACAGCTACAAAATGGAAACGAACTCTAAACATTAGGTATCGGGAGTCTCTCCCTCTCTCTTCTTTGGGTAATCCCCTGCACAGTCCACATTACTTCAACACTTCCTTATTGTCCCTGTCAGAAACTGGAGAATTACAGCAAATAGTTTGTGGTTCCTGAAATAACTCCTCCCCCCCTCCTCCCCCCTTATAATGACAGTAACTTGCAAAAGAGAACAACTACAATTTCGACTAAATAAAAGGTGAAGACCAAGTAGTTAAGGTTGGTATGGAGCAAAATAGTCCCCCGAGAAGATTTCTCACACCGTATTTAAGCGATCCCAATAAATGATTAAGATCCTTTAGCAACAATATAGGTTAACGCCTCAATTCATAAAGCCACCACCGAACTCAGATTTCGAGCACACTGAAGGGTAATAAGTTACGTTGCTGATTTCTAGTTTTCTTCGACAAAGCTCACTATCAGGAGCAGGATGGGTAAGGTTGTCTCCAAGTCACACCTTCACAGTTTGTAGCCGGCTATCTCTTCAAGGAGGATATGTTTACTACACAATTACAGCAGCACCACAGCCACCACACGCCCACTTGTAGCCCTAGCAATTACACAATAAAGTGCAAAAATAAGAGCTCAGAAGCTCTGAAAATTGCGTGTCAACTGTAATTTTAATGCGTTCGGGGTGGGCATCGACGACAATCCTTTCTGAAGAAAACGTGCTCCTATCACTGGAACAACATTGACTATATCTGCACATCTGCAACTGTCCCCTTCTTTACCCAAGCTTTGCGTAGGAGACCCAACTAAAAGGTTCAGCTTCATGAATCCATGTAGGTTGAGATATCGAATGAACCAGTTCCGAAACTGAGGAAGAAAAATCAGATAGTTAGGTCCGAGCAGGGAAGTGGAAAAGCCGGAGGGCCTACTCAACACGCACTTTTTTTGCCTTATTGCACGTCGTATTTGAGGCTAGGGCTCTGCTCATTTAAAACACGACGAAGTTATACAAAAATTCATGGAAAAAGTCGTTTTTCTGAGACCTTAAATTATTCAGATCTTCAAGATGTTTGCAATTCCCATGTTCACAATGATCGACGATCACGTGCATCTACACTCTTGTAGTGGGTCTTGCACACTTCACAGGCACCGTTCGCGATAATTTTGAAAAACGTTTGCAAGTTGAAAGCAAAAATTAGTTGAGATTGGGTCATCTCTAATAAAGAAAACGAGAAAGTAGATAGAACTAATAGAATCGAACGGTTCTCACAAGTAGTGAAAACAAGGGGTTCTAGGATATCGCCTGGACGGAAGTGGCATGGTATTTGGACTAGATCGCAGTCACTGTAGTCGTGTAAGAAACTGGCTTCTCTGCCAGCTATTTACACAATCCTGGCCAAAATCTTCACCTGCCAAAATGAGTCACGACCAGTTGCTTGAATTCTCAACATGTGCTCTATTGTGACAGATGCAGTATCTATGTCGTTAAAACACGTCCCCCTTTGGGTGTGCACATCGAAAAAGCAGGTCATCAACCCCTAATTCGACGTTTTTCGCGAAGAACGCGTTTTTTGACCCAGCGGCGACTAATATGGCATATTTGGAGGCCACAGGTATGTATGTCCTAGTTGAAAATCTCGAGAAGCATTTGTGCCATGAGTTGTGTCCACAAGCGGGGGTCACTAAAGTGCGACGTCTTAAAACAGGGATGAACGTAGGTTATTGGAGTCTCCTTGATTAGTACGACGATCGAAAAGACAAATGATACAGACAAATAGCTTCATGTTTATACATCTGAATAACAGTGAATCAAATATGTACACGAAATAAACATTCTCTACACCTCCCCCTTCCACAGAATCCATCTCATCAGCTTTTTAACTGTACAGGCTGATTAAAAGGTGATATCTGGCGGAACCATGTCCTCGGTAATGCCCATAGCGGCTAGATCTTCCTTGACTCTCATGAGATAGTCGGGATCAGGGTACCCGTACCTGAAACATTAAAAAGATCATGTAGTGAAATGAAGATATATGGGGTTTCTTAGAGTGGTTAGCTCTTAATAGGAAGTGAGGTAAGACAAGAGCGGCCGCGGCGTACAAAAGATCACATCAGAAGATCAGAAGAGAAACTTCAAGGAGAAAAATTGGCCAGCACGATTGTGAGAGTGGACTGCTTCACCTCTGATGATATTAGCCTGGGGAAAGCTTGTGGGGAACAGTGTAGTTTGACTAAATATTTAGCTGTGTTCAAAAAACCCCTTGTGCTTACTTTCTCTATGACTGGGTACGTTAAGTCTCAGGGACTTCAGAACGGACCCTAGGAACTTAAAATTGGATAGTTAGAAAAACGGGATGGTACTTCACGAAGCATAGTGAACAAAGGCGGGGAGGATCCTTCACCAGACCTTGAACTTGTCTTGTTGCCCAAAGAAATTCGACCGTAGAGACATTTCGGAATGGCCGTAGTTCTTGGGAAACAGCATTTTTAATCCGTATCTGATCTGCTGGAGTTTCCAGATAAAGAAAAAGAGCTCAAGTAATTACCTCGGAGAATTTAATCGGAAAACTTTGGAAATCTATTACAAAACATCTTTGAACCATGAAAAAACATACTTCTGCGGTCCTCCTGTGACATTCGTCTTGTGATGTATGTTGTTCCATACCACAACGTTTTTTTGGCCTGTTGTTATGGAATCTCCAACCTGAAAAGCGACCGATTGGGATCCTTCTCGTAACAGTTTGCTCTCAAAAAATCCTTATGTAGTCAATTGTTAAACATGACCTAAGTTACGTAACCATAGTGCATTTCTGGATCACCTCCAGAAGCGCAATCGTTAAAATGTATCAATTGACAATGAAGGCGTAGAGGTGGAAAGGCAGAGACCTAAGAGAACCGTTTTTGCTAACTAAGATCTAAACAATCAGGGAGGAACTGAACAACAACAGTATTCCTTCGAACAACCTCGTTTGACACCAAAAGCATCAAAGACCATCATTAAAGAGCTCTAAAAAAATTCGGCTCTGTTGTCATTGAAAGTAGTGTTCGAAGTTGTTATGAACCCTGCAACACAAAGTGGTCTCTTCCGCGTTGGGTGGGACCGAGGCTGCGCTGAGAAAGGGAACAGCTGGATGGGGTATTCGGACAAGATTGCAGCAATTGCAATTGCACAAAGAGCTGTCTACATCGAGCCAGAAGTCTGTCTTTCACTGTCGCCATGGGTCACGACAAGTTGTTTGAACTTCCTACATGGGTTCCCTTGTGATCGGTGCAGCCTCTACGATGCCGGCGAAACTCGTCCGAGGATACAACAGGGCCAATCTTTGAGCCTTTCTAACTCCCTAACTAGGCCGTTTTCCGACCTGATAGTGCGAGATATGGTATACGCGGTGGCCTCAAATTCATCATGTGGGGGAGTCTCAGAAGCCACTTTCCTCGTGAACCGTGCCTTTAACTTGTCAGCCTGTGGGCTTTTGTGAACCTCATACCCGTACAAAAACCACACTGAGCCTCCACATTTCACACTTGGGAGTGATGACCCAAAAAGGAGTAGCATAAACGTGACATTAACAGAAAAATGAGGAAATGGATTTTCGAAATGATTCTGAAGAGTTACCACTTCTCTTCCTCCTCTCTACTTTTCGTTCGATTTATTTTGTTTATTGCAGCCATTTTTGGTTCACATTGTACTCTTCATGTATTATAAGCCTAGTCGAATTTACCGGCTCCTTCCTTCTCGTATTGGCTAACTTTTTATTTCAGTGAGGGACATACTTCCATTCACAACCCTTTTTACCGCAATTCGAATATTCTTATCAATTTGCCACCTCGCCTATTTTTCAAGTTCCTTGACTTCACTTTGCTTTACTTTTCTTTTTCAATATCAGTGGCCAAAAAGTACATGTCGGATGAAGTTTCTGTTTTTTTCTAAGCCGAAACATGAAAGCCTAATTGTAAGCCATAAAAGTGGTGAGTTTATATGAAAAAACTAACCGTGAACACAAGACGGCGATCAAAGGCAAACTTCAGTAGTCGCATTACCTAAACAGTTTAGAGAGAATGTTCTCGATCATTAAAGCACAAGTCATTAAACCATTGAATTTCAGAGTATTCCATTCCAAATCGTGAATGATGCAACCAATATCTTGGCCTTACAACCAGTTTAGTCAATCTCCCACTCCATCTCATATGTAAAGGATTAAGAAAAGAGTACATATTTTGGTGTTAATTTACCACGTCTTTTGATGCCCCCCGTATTCGACTTCCATCCAGGAACGTAGTGTCGTTTTAAACGCTCAAGTGGTGTACAATGAGATGCTTTAGCCAGCTGATGCAAAAGTCGATGCTTTTATCTTCGCATGCGAGTGTGATACCGGTTGACTGACACCGGAGGGATAGAAGGTTTGGCTGGCCTGAGCGGGNATCACCATGCATGACTGTGAGAGCTCCGATGGGGAAAATTCGAAGAAAAACTAGATTCAAGGCATCACAATTCGAAGCAGCATGATCTGCTTCCAATTGGGGATGTTCAACACTCTGACGACAATGCGGATTTCGACGTGACGCGCCCGTGGGACCATGCTCCCCTCTTTTCACGCGCGGCTGGCGCCTACCGGCGGGTGGCTCTGTCCCAGAAGAAAGTTCTTTCACTGGCTTACTGAATTTAGCAATTGGTAAGAAACAAGAAAGTATGGCCGCACTCAAAATTAAGTGCCAATGTCCCATGAGCCACAGTCACCATTGTGGGTGCCATTGTCGTCAAAGGGTTAAGGCATTTACAATCGAAATCTCGTCATTTTCCCAATCATTTACTAACGACGCATGATGCAGATGGCATTTGTGAACGCTTCTCATCCTGTGGCTCAAAAAACATTAAAAATTCTGATTCACTGCGCATTAACGTGAAATATTTCAAGATACGGAAGATTGTCTCCTGTTGGAAAAGCCATCAACAAGCCTAAAAGGACGAGGTAGAACAAGTGGCCTTTTTGAATCACCTGAGTTCCTTCAGAAGTACCAGGCACGAAAGCTCTTCTTTGTGTACCCGTAAAAAGCTTTCCGGGTCGGATGTGACTCGCCTGTAAACTTCGCCGCCATGAGAAATTAATTTGATTTGAAACTAAAAGCCGACGTACTTCTTGTACCCCGTGTGGAACCGTATAGAAGATCTCATAAGTGAACTCGCTGTCTTCGTGACCTGAACGACAGTAGAATGAACTAGTTTTTCCATTGAAAACTACGCCAAATTATCGGTTTTATCAAACGGATTTCAGAACACGAGTCAACGGCAACCGCTTCGCTGCTGAAGAGAAGCCTATCTTCGAGTAACCAAACATCTTCTGTCATTTTCATAGGACAAGAGAAGGTTCCCCACTGTATGCTGAACGCATATGAGTTAGTCATAACTACTGCTCACAGCGATCAACTTCAATGTGGTTGGGAAAAGACGTTCCAAATCATCACAAGTGTACATACAGCGCAGCGACGCTCGTCATATTACATTCCGGAGACCCATCATGGAACCACTGGCATCTTTCATAGTCCACGATTTTGCGAGCGACCAGTCGCGCGACCGGTCCCTAGCGACTGGCGACCAGTCGCGCGACTGGTCGCGGACCCATCTCGCGAGCGACTGGTCGATCGACTGATCGCGCCACTGGTCGCTCGATCGGTCGAGGAGGCCGCGCTAGTTATGGGTGCCGCCGCGGACGGTCCCGCGCGATCAGTCGAGCGACCAGTCGAGCGTCCAGCCGCTCGCGAGATGGGTCCGCGACCGGTCGCTCGCGAGATGGGTCCGCGACCAGTCGCGCGACTATGAAAGCAGTCACTGGGCCAGGCTGGATCTATGCTATTTATCTACAGTAGCACCCACGTACAGTTGTTGCCCCTTTGATTGCTATTTGCTTTCACTCAGGTTTTCCTTTTTATTCTAATTTGCTCTGTTCGATTGAAAATCACTTTAATGATAAAAGAATTCAAAAGCTATAGTTTCAAGATGGCAGTCAACGGTCTCATCCAAATGTTATCACTTAATTCTGGACATAAGGCATCAGAAATTTGCCTGATATTTGATCTATCAGATAAACTCAAGGAATCCAGAAAAAGCTTTCATTTTTGTTAAAGGATTTCTCCCTACCAATCTGACAAAATTCCTGCACTAGGAAATTGTTTGAAAGCAAATATTTTAAGTTACTATGAAAGATCTTTTATGCGAAGTTTTGAAAAAATATGGAAATATTCGCATATTTACACATGCACCTTCCATTACATACCTGGTAGTTTCAAGTGGTAATTCTTGTTGATGAACATTTGTGCTTCTCGTGGTTGGTCACCCAGAGGAATTTCGAAGTATTTACAACACAGAGGGCAACATTTTTTACTGTTTGGATTGCGAATAAACACCTGAACATTCATCATTGAGAACATAAAAGGTACGTCAAAATGAATTGTACCTGCCTCAAAACACTGCACATGATACTGATGACCACATGGTAACTCACAGACTTCTTTTGGTTCTCCATCTTCGTCCAGAGAACTAAGGCATACCACACAATCATCTTTTTGAATCGCTTCCTAAAAATTGTTGCACTAACCATAAGAAATCAGATGACTATTTTGATATTTATTTATTTATTCATTAAGGACGTTTTATTAAGGACGTTGCATAAGGCAAACGTGGGAAAATTTCTATCGCTAACAACACAACGCAACCTAATTACACGACAAAAGCTTTTTCTTAGCTAGGAGTTT